GATAACGAACGCTTTGGCGTTTGAAACAATGGGCACTGGGTTTGAGCCTCGGTGGTGGGAACATCATCACTTGGTGCCTGGGGAATGCAGGTACATCCACTGGCTGACGAGTACCAAATAGGACGAAATGCGCATTGTCCTGGATTCTGCTGCTAGTCACTTTCTTAAATAGAAGTTGAAAATAACTAGCCCTCATATTATTTATAAAGGTTTATAAATTTTACTGGCGTATTTTTGTTTGGATCCATTGAGTTCCAGATGAAACATAAGGCTTCGAACTTGTTTAAAGTGTCAGTAGTGTTGGCAGATGGCTTTCACAAGGTGAGGCTCATAACCTCATGCTTGACATTCCCTCTTTTCCAGGCTCATTATCCGCCAGAAGTCTAGGTGATGCTTAAGAGTGCGTCAGTTAGGAGTCGACCTCAGAACAAGTAAATAGATGGCTAGTATTCTATCAATGAATCATTGATTCACCAACGCACTTATATTACTCATATCAAAGACCATGTGAAGAATATGTTTGTATTAAGTGATTTTAAGCAATGAAATAAGATGAATTTCGCATATATTTTCGACAGCAGACAATTAAGTTTTCATACTTTAAGCGGAAACTGTGTAGGGAAATTTAACTGGCATCTAAACATTCGTCCTAGTATGGTACTCTTCAGCGGTACGAACCCACTAAAGCTCGAATCTGGTACCCCCAGCTATAAGGCAAACTTGTAGGTCATTCAGCGATTGGACACGATCCAATGGCCCGTGAATTCCAACGCCCGCCAATCCGCTATATATACATATTTTTTCTATGTTTGGTTTGTAAGGATTAGTTTTGTTTTTACGGGTTGATCACGGATTGATATCAGTTAGAGAACCATTGAAAACAAGCAGGGAGTACTGGGCAGCTGTTTCATCGCACTAGTTTGGTAATCAACGGCAGTATGCGCCCACTGCCAGGGTTTGAAACTATGATCTCCCGGTTACAAGGCAAGCTCTATAGAAAGCTAATCTGATGCTCGCTAGTGACTTGCTACAGAATGGAGTTTCTTGGAGTTCTAGTGAGAAGTCGCGACTACTGAGGTCCATCCAGTCAAGTCTGAGGATGGAGTTCCCGTAGATGATACTGACTGGTGATCACGCTAAGCCACGAAATTGGTAGAAGTTAGAATTCATGAACTGGCCACTCAATCGAGTCCCAATGGCTGAATGGTATACGAGATTGTCTTGTAACTGGAAGGTTCTGGGTTCAAACACTGGTAGTGGGTACGTACTGCCGATGATTCTCAAACTAGAATGAAACAGCTATCCAGTACCCCGTCGTTTTCAATGGTTCTCTGACTGATATATATATATGTATATATATATACTGCACAACCACCAGTCATGTGAGTAAATTTTTTCTTACCTAACGTGATAGACTCTGGTGGTTACTACTTTCAGCCAGAACTCCAACTTGGCTGACTCATATAATAATAACAGTAGCCAGATAAAGATTCAAATGGGCTCACTTCTTCAAACCCGAAATTGTTACTATCCCAGTACTGTTGGTCGATGTAATTGGTATACAACTACTCATCTCAATCGATTAGTAGTACATATTTCATGCGAATGCGCTTGGTTTCTTGAATACCATTTTTGTACCAAGCGCATCACATATTTTCAGGTGGATAATTTCAGTTTACGAAGGAGACTAGGGTGAAATCTTACTTCGAACTGTATAAATTGCAAATTAATCTGCACATTGAGAATCTGATTTGTAGTTGTACCAATCCACCCAAGTAGGCAGCCAGGGAATTGGGTGGTTTGAACAGATTCTGCTCTCTGAACTGAGTCACTATGGATGAGCTCGACCCCAGACAAGCGAAATAGATGTTCGGTGCTTAGATCACTTTGATTAGGCTGGTTAACAAGTACTATTGGTTGATGTGAGTGGTGGTATCCATCTATGCTCATTTCAACTAATCAGTAGTATATAGCGTTATGAATTGAAGTGGTTACATAACGAAATTTTCATACAAGCCTTGTTTATTCAGGATATTTCGATGTTTTTAAAATTATTTCAATTATATAATCACCACAAGTGCAAGTGAATTGATTGATTCGACTGGAGTTGACATGAACAAAGCACTTATCTACTTGTAACTGTGATAAAAAGCAGAACAGACTCAACTAAGGAAAATGTTCGTTTCAGTTATTTCTTCCCATTTTCACATGGAGTAAACAGAAATATTGACTTCTTCTTTTCAAGTGTTATGGGCTTCAGTCTGGTGGTTTCTTCTCTCACATACTTCAATGTGAAATGTGAAGGATATTCATTCTCGATTAAATTCTTTTCATTAATCGAAAGGTCTTGATCAACCTTGTTTTCTTAACGAAATACCCTCTATTTGCAGAACAGCGTTTTAACCAGAGTACAATTGTAATTAGATAGGCGAAAACTGTGATAATTTAGGTATTTTCACCAAGTATTGGTTTTTGTAGGGATTTTGTTTGACTGCATGGAGGATTTCATCTTGAGCTGACATCAGTTAGAGAACCAGTGGAAAACCTGCAGGGAGTACTGGACAGCTGTTTCATACCAGTTTGGGACTCTTCAGCAGTACGCATCCACCGGGGTTCGAACCAAGGACCTTCTGGTTACAAGGCGAGCTCGTAGACCATTCAGCCACTGCGAGCCGAGCCTTTTAACTAGAATGTCCTGGGTTCGAACCCCGGTGGGTGTGTACTACCAAAAAGTCTGAAATGGGGACGAAACAGCTGACCAGTACTCCCAGGTTTTCCAGTGGTTCTCTAACTGATGTCAGCTCATGATGAAATCCTCCATGCAATTTAGTTATTGACTAGTTCACATTGTTCTTTTTCTATGGTTATACTATTTATTCATTTCATGCTAAGATCTAGAGGATTGAGTTGGTTATGGCATTAATAATCCATTGCAAAGTAAATGTCACGGTGAGCTACACTAAGTTTTTTACACATTACTGATGCATCACTGAAGACACCAAGTGTGTCATGAATATGTTTGGAGTAATATGTGGTCTTCCTTGTTCCTGATTTCATTTGCACTTATTCATAATGGATTATCATTACACACGTAAGAACAGGGCGCAAAGGTGAACCCATAGCTACTCTATCAGTTTTCCGATATAGTCTGTCACTGAATTAAAACTGATTATTCTTTGATCAATGACTGTTTGAACTTGTTTTCAGGAAGAAAAAGCGATACGGACTGTGTGCATATTGATTTTCACTGTTTCTTCAAATGGCATGTTTGTAAATAATGAACAAACATCATGCGACAATCGGACTTCGTCTGAAATACTTAACCAATCTAAGCCATGGTAATGGCCAGATGAATCTTTGATACTGTGAACTGGCAACTTTCATACAACTGGCGTCGACGTTTGCACCAACTATCTAGGCAGTTTACGGCATGGCGATTTCCCCACTGACATTAACAATCTTAAAGGCATGTGTGATTTGCAGACTTCGGGTAAACAACACATGAATGGCACGAATGGACTTCTTGGTTTAAAGTTATTGTAGGCACTGTTGTCAGTTACTCACTTCTAAAAAAGATCCTTGAGATGCTTATTCACTCTGCTGTCAAAAGCTTTTATCACGTCTGTTTTTGACTAATCCTCATGAAATCTTGTCGTATCAGCCGGTAGCATTGTTATTTCAAAAATGTGGTCCTGTTTGTTCTTTATTATTAAGACAACACAATCTTTTTCTGGTCTAAGAAAGCCGCCTTTGTGATAGTTCCATTTAGTGAATGATTTTGACTGGATATCAGGGGAAATATGGGGCTATTCTGCAATTTTAGCCATCTTCGAGGTAAACTAACCCCTCCTGTCTCCGTCCACAAGTTTCAAGTTAGATACCTGATGATATAGATACTAGAACTGTGTTCATGTATCAGTTCTACTGAAAGAAAAGTTAGTCGCACGATGATAAATCTTCGAGAGAGAGAGAGCTTCTGCCTCGACCTTATTTATCTTTAGTTATGATAGTTTCCATATTTATTCTTTCAACGCTTGTGGAAATTGTACAGGTATTTTCTGAGTTTTTCTCTGTGTTCATGAGAAATCCCCATTCGAAGACCAGTAGTTCAGCGAAGAGTTTCTTTTCTGCGAATTCATTTTTACATTTGTACAGTCGCAAATATATATATGGTTATTTTGTATGTGTGTGTACATGAAATTTGTCAAACGAAAATACGACTGGTTAGGGTTGTTGTAACTAAAGGGGTAAAAATTAGTCAGTTTTTTGGTGGAGTTACGTAATACAAAGAGCGTTTAGGGCAATTGGATGTTGATACAAGAGAGTAGTAACAAAAGTGATGAGCTGTCACAAAGATTGTTAAAGAAGAGTAACGTAACAACATGAATAGTTTAATGAAAGAGTTCTGCTCAGGGTGCTCATGGAAACAAAATAAAATGCGGATTTACGTAAGATTTTTAAGTAGTTAGAAAAACAAACAAACAAGCAAAAGTCAAGTCAAATCAACAGACTTGTTACCATGATACTAGGAGTGGTTGAATAATTTTCTTTTGTATGCATAGTTCTGTTTCTAGCTAGGGCTTCTGCAATGCAAAGAAGACAGAGGCATATCGTCTTTGTCAGGTTGTTCTTCACTTTGCAGATTACTTCGAAGGAGGCGTTTCTTGAAATGGAATGACCAGTGGTGACGAGATGTTCGATTATCGCACTCCTTATTTTCCTATATGACTTTCATGTCTTGAGATATACGTCACGGATAAAGTTGATTAACTTCGTTCGACAAACAGTACTGAGATTGTCAAGAAGAGTGTCAAATCTGACTGGGCTTGACCTCAGAGTTGAATTATATCTCTAAGATGGTTTGTTGTGTTTCAATTTGCAGTACTGTAGGGATCACTTAGGTCTTCTACTCTTGTAATGAACTGTGAAAGAACTTTTGTCGTATACAATAGACAATAATGCTTCTTTATTTTATTTTTTTCATTCTAAAATTCTTAAAGAACTATCCTGGATCGTGAATACCAATCAACATATACATTTTACGCTTATGTACACGATGGACCAGATCACTCTAGTCAGACGACGAATACAACTGATGAGAAGACAAGAAGTCAGTCAAGTGATGTGAATAGCAAGTATTATAATCATCAAAATATTAATGAGTATCGTTCACACACGGCTTCAGTTATGGTCACAATTACTGTACAAGATGAAAATGACAATGATCCAGTTTTTGTTCGACCAAATGCAACTAATCATATGATCCTGTTGAATCCAACAGCTATACCTGGCCAGTCTTTATCACAAGTAAGTAGTATATTTTAGATGAGAGGAAAAAGTTGGCGTATTTAAATGAAATAGATTATTGTTGAATATAAATTTTGATACCGGCTGAAATTAGTTACATAAACACTGAAAATTATTGAGTTCATGACTTCTCAGACGGCGTTCTAATGTCTCTATAAGAGATCTAGGGTAACAGAATCTGTGACGTTGTCAACCAGCCATAGAGCTTGAATCTACTGGCCAGTGATTTCTTACTTTCGTCATACTGGGATGATAGCGCTACGAACGTCCGAAATCATAAAAGTGAGTATTTGTCCACATGCTTGCCTTGTGGGTGCAACCGATTATGACTCCTCATTGAAATTCCCAGTGAATCTGTAAGACTACCAGTTCTTGTGGGAATCATGCATAAATACCCCTGAGGAGTACCATGCATGGATGAAGTATCATTTGATTTATGCTTGATTTTTCCAGCTTTTTCTAACTAGTGTCCGTTAGTTAGGAAATTTACTTTGTACTCAGTCAATTCCCCAGACGTACTCAACATATAGAAAGGATTAATTTCAACTCAGTCGTCATTAATAAGGTAACACTACATGGAAGGATACTGTACTGAATTTCAAACCTTCAGATGAGACTTAAGAGTTGATCATTGAGTGACGTTTTTTCCTAACTGCAGCATTAGGTTATGGGGATTAGAATCTCTGAGACAGCACCAGTCTGTTTTAAGATAGCGAAAATTCCTTGCTGACGAGTGTCAACATTTTCAAAACCTAGTTCAAGTATTCCATCCAGTTGCCTTCGACCATCTAACATCATTTCGATGTGGACAGCGAAAAATTAACATGATCATCTTTTCATGGACCGACAGCTGATCAAAGTAACAAACTATAAGTTTCCCTTGATCTACCTTACCAGTCATTATAAAGTCGACTGACCATATGCTTCCAAATTTGTTCACTATACCTATGAGAACTGAGTATAGACACGTCTAAACCTAAGAAATAGTCCCATTTACTTTGGTTGGTCACTCAGTAGCAACCAATGTCAGGTTTCTAGCCCCTGGGTTGGTACAGACAATATAGTCACCATGCTAGGCTACCCACTATGGCGATGTTTACTGAATTCATGTTAGATGGTTAGAGAAAATCGACAGAAAGCTCTGAACTTAGGATTTATGCGTGTTCCCTCTCATCAGAAGGGACACGATTTCATTTTTGACTGCAGATCATTCTTACTGCCAAGTGTCAACAAGGATAAGGCTTGAGTTCAAGGTTTTCTGCAGAATGACTCTAGCCGTCCACCAAAAGTTACGTTTATTTGACGTGTATAAACTAGTGCTTCCATCAGGTAAATTCATTTAGAGTTCAAAGTCATGTAAGGCAAAACATTCGTAAGTTGTTCAAACAAGAAACACAATGCCTTTGTTTTCTCAAACTATCAAGGGTAGTCTGATTCACAATAGAACACAGTACGAAAAGTGATGATGTCATGTGTTTACAAATCATTATTTCCAAGCGTTAGTTTGTTGATATTTGATTAGTTTCATGTCCTATCATGGATTGATATCAGTTTGAGAACCTTTGAAAACCAGTAGGGAGTACTGAATAGGTGTTTTGTTCTCCTTCTTCGGAATTCTCCAGCAATACATACCCATGTCCCAACTGCTAAGGATCGAGGCGACCTTGTAAACCATCCAGCTGCGAATTAGCAGAAATTTGAGTTGATTGAACACTGAACTCTGTCCTAGCTGCTCGATCGTAAACAAGCCTACCTCGTAACCTGAAAGTCCTGAGTTCGATTGCTGACTGTGGGTACATGGTCGCGTAATGCTGAAGAGTCCAAAAGAATGAGAATGCAATAGCTGTCCAGTACTTCACGGTTTTCAGTGGTTCTCTAACTCGTATCAATCTTTGGTCAAATTTGAAATCATTATTTCTAAAGAAAACTAATTCAATCACACGACAGTATAGAATAACGGCTTACATTCCACCCAACATTATTCTCCTGATGACATAAGTTTGAGTCGACAACTTCTTATGAATTAATTTTAAAATAAAGTTATCCAGTTTGTTTCTCCGGGTCACTTGAAGAAAATTATAACAAAAAGAATAAATTATCAGACAACTTACCCATACAAACACACATCATCGACTTGAGCACGTCTTATATTCTAGAGTAATTCTCACTCGATTAATGGGCTAGTTTACAAGTTCTCAGAGGCTCTCTATCGCTCTTTCTGTGAAATAAGGTGGCTGCTCTCCATTTTTTGTATGGTATAATATGATTTGTTAGATTTTATTCAGCCAACAGTAGTGAAATTAATGAGTTAAGCAATAAGACACTGCAACACTTATTTAGCTACATAGACGGATTTCTGCCTACATTAGTGTATAAAAAGGTGCTGTCTCTTCTTCTAAAGGGTTTTCTATACTACAATATATATATACATCTCGTGGGAATATGAGTATTGAAAATAGCAGATGTTTCCAACGGTAACGCGGCATCTATCAGTTTGTCATAATGATTAATTAGGTAAAACAAAAACTTCTTTGGTTTCACTGTTAGTCAATTAGAAGTTATGCATGTATACATATATAAAAAGAAGGTGGTCTTACTGAATTTTTAATATTACTTGATTGGCGTGGTATACCGAGTTGGGTGTGAGGACCTAGCACTCACTAGTGATTGACAACATAATGAATTCGCCTGGGCTTCCAGTGGGAATTCACAACCAGTGGGGTCCACACACTCACCGATGACATTGGCGGCTGCCGGTGACACTATATGCATCACGAAATGGCAGAAGTTAGAATTTATGGGTCACCGGATTTCATCCCATTGGCTCAATCGTCATTTACCTCTTCTTGTAATCTGAAACCCTTAGGTTCGATCAATGGCATTGTGGTCATGGGTGTGTACTACTGCCGAGTCTTAAGCAAACAGGAAATCGCCATCAAGTACTCCTAGGTTTCCAATGACTTTCTAACTGAAGTCACTTTGTGGTCAAACTAGATGTCCAGTGATAAGTGAATTCATGAAATGACGAAAATGTAATATTTGAGTAAAAGTATCAAATCACCGTTCTGGAACATAAGAGTTTCAGAGGAAAGCCTTGTGTGAAATTTAATTTAATTTAACATCTGTTAAGAATGAAAATTTTCTAAGCTGCGCAGTTCTGTCTGCAGAACCCTTGTTACTATTTTCCCACTCTTTTACAAATCTGTTGCTACAGAATCTTGACGCTTTAGACAATTCTATACTGATAATATAGTTCGTTAAAATACAATATAGATAAAATAGCAATTCAAACAGAACATGCGACGTAAGTTTAAAGCCATTATCTTCACCTTTCGACAGGTTCTGGAACATAGGCATACTTACCGGCGTCCAACAGTCGTCATATTTCTCCACATGAAGGCGGCATTTGATCCCGTCGACTGAGAGGTAATATGGCGATGTTTCGCTGTGAAGAGAGTGCTGAGAAAATACATTGCAGTGACCAGAGCACTCCAATCAAACTCATGCAGTAAGCCATGTGAGAGCTCACGGTGGGTTGTCATCTGAATTGGTGACAACCAACGGTGTCAGTCAGGGATGCCCACTATCCCCATTTCTGTTTAGTTTCATCATAAATGTACTAATGGACTTAAATCTAACCGACTTCAGTGACTCAGGGATTGACTTGTTACCGTCAGGGAATAATCTCGCTGACTTAGAACATGCAGATGATATAGTCCTCCCTCCTAGGTGAAGACACTGACTGACAAAATGCAGAGTCTTCTGAGCCCCTTGAGGAGCAACAATCAGTGAATGTTTGGCATGCGATTCTCTCCCATCAAATCTAAGATGATGCTACAGGACTGGACTACATTGACTCCTAGCTTAGAGATATTAAGTGAAGTGGTTGGTGGAGCATGGTAACTGCTTCTTTTATTTGGGAAGTTGCATCAACCGGCGCCAGTGGGTTGATCTCTGACTGAATCTCAACACGGTTACAGAAAGCTTGATTGGCATTTGCCTGCCAACTTTCGCCATCTCTCGTTTAGTAGACGTGATGTCTAACTGGTTATTGACCAAAGGCGCGTGCGTACTGCTCAGCATTTCGCTACGTCTTCCTTTATAGCTGTGAGTGAGACATGGCGATTGAAAGTGGAAGACATGAAAAGGCCAGCTAGCTTTCTTTGATCACAGGTGCCTGCGTTCTATCTACATCCCGCGTGAAGTGGTATTATATGGTGAGCAACACTGAGGTTAGGCATCGGTCGAGTGCTACGTAAGGAGGGGAAATCAACAGACAAGGCTGAGAAGTTACATCATTTGGGTGAGATGGTTAGGTCATGTGTTACGCATGCATCTCTAGCCATCGGCTTCCTCGACAACGGGCAATTTTAGCTGACATATGGTTGATGAGGTTGGAAAAGAGTTGCCTAGTGGTGACCAAACCAAAACATGTCTTCATCAGTCAGCGAAATTCCCAACAGTTAGTTTAACTCACCCAGTCTCGTATAAAAGTGTTGACTCCTGTCTGGTCGGGGTCCTCAAGATAGTAAAAACCAATGAAGGCTGGAGACAACTGGTGGTGATATGGCTCAAAATCGTTGTTCTCAATGGCTGGCACAGATGCAATCACTCTTTGTGATTTATGATATCCAATAAAATTTTATTGTTTTTCCATATTACAACTTTTTTCCTTTCCCACTTCCGTTTATTATCTCTTTTTTGAATCTCTTTTTACCCTCTTTTCTTGCTTTGTGTGCTACAAGGAGGTAGTGTGGCAACACGAACTGCTGCATATCTGTGCGAATTTCTACGTTGAAACCTATCAGTCAGTCAATCAGTCATTAGACTTTACATAAGTAACATATTTCATGTTGTGAAAGAATTCTTCATCGAACTGGATCAGACTTGTTGAATCAATTCACCAATAACTGATTGATCCACTTTTATGATGTATCAAGTTGTTTCACCACAGTTCACACTGAAATGTATTTACGCGGAGGAGTTGTAACTAGAGAAACGACATCTTCTTGAGTAAAAGACAACTGTAAAAAATACCAAATTTTCAAATGTTGATTTGCAGGGTATCATTTGTCCTGAGGTCTGGTCACAAACTATTCCATATCGGTTAGAGGACCACCGAAAACCAGACAGAAATACTAGACATCTGCTTCGTTCTAGTTTGGGGCTCTTCACCAGTACACGCCCCCCACAGTTCGAATACAGTAGCTTCCTATTACAAGCCGAGCTCATAGACCACTCAGCCACAGAGACCCAATCCAACAGCCCATGAATTTCAACTTCACGGTATTGTGTGCTACCGCCAGCCAGTGTCGGTGGCGAGTAATTATTCCCCCACTTGACTTGTTGGACCCCGATGGTCACTGCTTATTCTGGGTTCGAACCCCGGAGGGTAAGTACTACTGAAGATTCCAAAACTGGGAAAAAACAGCTGTCCAGTAATCCCTAGTTTCCCAACAGTTCCCTAGCTGATGTTGCCTTATGATCAAACGTGTAAATACTTAATTTTCAGTGAAGTAAGATCCTTTTATAACTGGGAATGATCCTGGATTTTATCTGGTTCTTACTGTTACTTTAATATGTGCAACAGTATATAACTGATCAGACGAATACCGTTCCAATACAGGGAAGGGAAAGATTGATTTCTTCTCACAAAAGAGATTACATAACGAATAAATTACCAGTTTAAGGTATTAAAAACTATGCTTTCAATGTACCTGCGGAAATCCACTGACCTAATTACTATTCCTGGTGAGGATACAGGCTATCGAGAATCAAACTTGTCGTGCCTTGATCTTAGTATAAATGTACAGGTAGAACAGAGGCGGTCAGTTATGGTTTGAATCTTTTCAGGTAGCTGATTTTGTTTTGCAGGCCTAGAAGAATGCTGTAATCATACCACATGCAAAATTTGTCTATTTTAAAGGTGTTCTATCAAAGATTTTACGTAGCTACAATATCTGTTATGAAGTTTGCCGTAATATGGGCGAAAACACCTAGCGATCGTCTTTATACTGACTCATTAATCTACGTCGGGGTCAAATGTCTGGTTTACAGGTCACATAGACACTGAGTGATAATATGTCACCTTCTGACCTAATTAGATATCAGCTATTTACATAACGGATTTTCACATCTAAGCTAAACAAAAGTGACTGAATCTATTTATTCAAAAATGACGGTTACCGTATAGTCCGTAACCATGACACTTATCCAATAAACTATTCTGATCATCTACCACCAGTTAGCTGCGGAGAAGTAATGAAGTCTGATTGACTACCAGTCTATCAGTTGTACACGAGAATATCCTGTTTTGTGTAGCAGTGTTAACAGCAATTCACTGTCTAATAACTTTTGGGAGGATAACTGCCAGACTGGACTTTATAGTCATTCCAAGCATTCATCTGTAAAGTTAGAATGGAAACTATCCCCTTCATTTTTTCATTAGACACTAGGTATTAATTAAGGTTATGCTTCTAGTCCTTCGTTTAATGTAGACTAAATTCACCGGCTGCACCAAAGGAAGGATTTGGAGCATGACATTAGTTGATACATAGTGTCCAATCAAAGCACCCTTCAAAGTCCTGTAGGAAGTCATTTGCGAACTCGACCAGATCAGCTGTAACATCTATGACTGAAGAACTAAGCGACGCAGGTTCGAGTCTCAGGAAGGGCATGAGTCCACTGAAGATTACAGATTCTGTTAGCTGATGAGCGACAATAAGCGGGAAATCTAAGTGCAGGGCTTCCTGCACCTGTACTGACACATTGATGCATACTAAAACGTTACCAAGGAAGAAATTGGCCCAAATACACTTACTTAGTTAAGACACAGTCATAAATGATAGCGTGCGTATTTCACCCTTCGAAGATTTAGTAGAGATGATGTTGCTAGTGTCACGCCCACCCGTCCCTTCGAGACGGCTAAGCAAGGTTTAAGAAGACCTCCTCCAGGAATCGAACCCAGACAGTGCCGATGAAAGATTATATTAAAAGGTATGTGATATTACTGCTTTTAAACGTAAACTAAAGGACACCAAAGTGTTTTGATGTTAGAAGTCAGCAGTTAGTCCTCAGAAAAGCTTCTTTCACCTAACCAAGTTTCTCAGTTTGTTGAAGGCATCTTGAAGGATATCTCATTACTCCAAAGTGCATAATATACTTTATAGAAGACTGAGACTAGAGGCCTTTATTCATCTACTCAGAACTTGTATTCTTTTTGAGAACTTCAATAATACACCTTTAGGTATTTTAATCTGAGCCATAAGCTTAAGCATTTTATTATTAGTTATCAGAAATATTCGAGCTTTACTCAATCTCATCATAATCTTTGTTTATTCTCTTCTTTTATTTTTTGCACAGTTATCAGCAATCGATCCAGATGAAGGTTTAAATGGACAGGTGACTTATGCTATAAAGGGTGAAACAGCTGGGACACTATTCAATGTCGATCCACGAACTGGATTATTATATTTGGAAAGTCAAATACCTAGACAGTATATCACAAATGGTAGACATGAAGTAAATAGTAACAATAATAATAATAACAATAATGATAATCAAATAAGTAATCTAGCACAAATTTCAACATATCCTACATTCCTACTATCGTTGGATGCATGTGATCAAGGTGAACCAAGGCGATGTACACATTTCCCAAATTTACAAATTCAGGTAACTTTTTCCAATTCATTTGTAGAACCTGAATGCGTATTTATAAAGTTTTTTACATTATAAGCTTATAGTTCTATCAGCTGAGTTATTATTTATATTTCCTTGAGATTGCTTGCAGGGATTTGATTGGCTAAGGGTTTGATCATTGGAAAACCAAAGAGTACTGAACAGAAGTTGGAATTCATGAGTCATTGGATCAGGTCCCAGCCGCTGGATGGTCTATGAGCTCACCTCCTACCCAGTAGGTAATAGGTTCGAATCCCTGGCAATTGTGTGAGTGCTGGCGGAGGGGTGAAGGATGAGACTTCCAACCGTATAATGAAGGCTAGGGTGGCATACATCAACTTCAGCCACCTCTGGCGCCGTCGCGACGTTAGCCTGGCTGTCAAAGGTCGGATATACAATGCTTCGATGCGGGCTGTCTTGCTCTACGCCTGTGAAACCTAGCCTCTCCGGGCTGAGGATGTGCGGCGACTCTGCGTGTTCGGTGATCGCTGTCTCCGCAGGATTGCTTGCATTCGATGGCATCATCGCGTGAGTAATTCTGAGGTTCAGTGGCGTGTGTTTGAACACAATGGAGATCACTATCCTTTGAGCGTTGTCACCTGAAAACACCGGCTCCGGTGGCTTCGACATGTGCTGCGAATATCATCCCAGAGGCTTCCGTACAGGTCTCTGTTCACTAGCCCTGGGACGGGATGGAAAAGGCGGAGGGGTGGTCAGTCCATGACATGGCGTTGTGGGATGAAGAATGTTTGTGTTAGATTAGCATCTGTTGCTGTATCACGACTCCCTGGTTGGGGTCCGCGAGATAGCCCGAATCGATGGCTCGAAACGTTATCAGATATGGCCAAGAATTGTAATCAATAGCGAACATGTTGCAATTTCCTTTCTTTATTCCCTTTCCGACAATAATTGACGAATCATTTTTGAACTTGCTACGAGTGACTGTTTTCCTACCAGATGATGTTCTTTACCCGTTCTCTACTTATATTTTTTACTTTTGATCTATGTTGTTTTATTATTATTGTGTGGCGCATCTTTCTTGGTGCTATATTGTACCAAGTTTTTTCTGCGTTTAAATAAGAATCCCGGTAAATGCCTTCTACTGGACAGATCCAAACTATGATGAAACAGCTGTATGTATTGGGCAGTACCCAGTGGTTTTCCAATGCTTCTCCAACTGTTATTAGCTCGTTGTCACACCTATTATTGATATCAATGAATAAATGCGGCAAGTCTGAATTCCTTGTCAAGTTTGTAGTAAATCAGCTTGTCTTGGTTACCAATACAAATCCATTTTCCACAAATTCAATTTGTCAAAAAAGAAATACCATATTGTTATTGTGTGAAATTAACTTAGAATGTTCCTATTACACATTTATTGCTCATATCAATTTACATATTTCAAAAAAATCCATAAAAGCAAGCTAAAAAGGTCAAATCAAATGATTATTATGCTAATGTAAGGCTTAAGAAAGACTAGTGTGTCTCGAAAAATAGACAAATTTGAACATTACTCATCATGCTTTTATTCAATTAGACATTATTAGAATGGGTTATTGATTGTAAGCCAATGAGTGGTGTTAGATTTCCGGATCTCCGAAAAGGAGATGGATGAAATCTATAAATAGCTGTGCCGAAGGTTCTAGGGGATTGACAATCACTAAATTGCCCAATCAGTGGCATGTTCACGTTACACATTTTTCACAAGTCATTAGTTAACACAGTGAAAATACGTATTGCTATCAATGCATGTGAATGATTGTCAATATTTTTCACAGGTGAGGAAAACGGCAATCACGAGGTTTCTTCGCGCAAAGTATAGCAAACTCAGATAAAGCACCTTTGAAACAGCTGAACGTAACATCCGATATGATTACAGCACTCGTTTAAGCACATAATACAGTGTCACATTAGAACCAATGACCTGAGGAAATTCAAGTAACAATTCACCGCCACCATTCCACTAATCTGAGTAGACAGAAACGAAAACGTGGCACTTTTATTTTGGTGCACTTTAAATACTCACTTGTATTTCTTTTATACGAAACATAAAATCCGCTCATATTTGCTTCCATGGTGAAGCTATATAAAGTTAATTACCCCCCATTCTAGTTTCTCCGACATACATGGCTATAGTCAAAATGGTTAAGCAAGGGACCAGACTTGGGGCAGTTCAAAATTTCAACTGTTTCCGTGGTGTCCTACAGAATTGTAAGAACTCTTGGAGGGGAAAAACAGTTTATTCTTCTGATGTACACTAGTCACCCATCTCAATGGATTTTTGATTATAAATACACTAGTTCAAGCGGTTGACCCAAAGACTTTTATATGTACTAATATAACTTCATAATTCCTCAGTTCTTCAGTAATTATGCATGTCACGTCATGATGATGCATTCCTAGTAGAATGTAAGGCTTCATGCTTGGGCTTTGAAGTTCCGATAGAAGTAGGGTTTCTTTTAATCGGATAGGACCACTGGCCTGAGACCCAACGTTCCGTCTTTGTAGGGCTTATAACCGGTTAAGGCTGTACACCGGCGGAGAATCGAACTCTGGACTACATCCATTCTACTGTTGAACCACCAGCACACAATAATCATACAAATGTGGTACAAATAATACCTTAGGAAAACAAATGTTTATCTAAAGAGGTTCAGCGTGCTACCCTTTCCACAGATATCAACTAATTAAAGTTGTAGTAAAGCTTTTCAAGGTGATCAAGTGACAATAAGAGAATAATCTTAAAATAGATACACTTCAGAAGAGCACGTCACATTATTGTATATGTTCTGAATCAAGACCACATATATATTCTGGGTGAGACACGTTCCTTACAAGACCGGAAGTGGAGCTATTGATCAACTAGGTAGGTCTATTAGGTGTTATTTATGTTGTTATTCCCTTGGGTTCCAAGTAGAACAGTAGGCTTCAGGAGCTCGTCATTTCACATTATTGTCTGCAGTCACGTTTATCTGCCTCTGAGGTTTCCTTTAAGCTGTCACTACCTCCACATAAGATCTCCTCCATATCACTCTTGAACGTCCCACTCGCTGTTTCCCGAGATCCTGGCACGTGGTATCAGGCAACTATCTGCACAGCATAGCGTAAGTCTAGTCCATCTCCATTTCCTCCTGCATATCTGTTGGGCAGTAGGTTCTTGGTCGACCTTTACCCAGAGTTATTCGTTGCTAATCCCTTCTTGCCTGTAGTCTGATTCTCAATACTCAGCGAATAAAGCTGTTGATGAAAGTCTAAAGCCAGTTCGATATGCTTTCCGTTACCCGTTAAGTCTGTGAACCACACAGAAGCATCGATTTGATAATAATCTTGAAAATTCAAATCTTGTATTCAATGCTTGATGAAACAGATTTGCACACCTATCTTGCCTTTTCCATCATGGTTGGCTTTGGTACCCTCATCCGCCACGTCACTTTCAGCTGGAACCGGTACATTTATAAAAGCGAATAAGGTACTTTCACTTACATTTCCCCAGTTGATGGTGATTGGTGTCTCTCATTGTGGATAGTTGGATATCTTCATCACCTTTATCTTGTCAGGGTTCCCTTGACATCCTATCTTCATTGCTTCTTCTGCCAATCTGTTGGTATTCGGCTGCAGATCTTTGAGTTATCGTTATACTAGACACGAACATTCTAGAGTCTTCTCACTGCCCTGGAGTATTCCTGGACTTTAAAGCGTTGTTTCCTCTTTTACAATGAAAACAGCACCTTGAATTCTCGCTTTGCTTAATATAAAATAAAATAGTCTGGTGATTCCTTGCGGAACAAACTACCTCTATTTTGATTGAACACTTGTAACTAGTGTGATGTGTCTGGTCCTTTCTTTGGTGCAGACTGAATTCTATCAGTCAGGTTTGCAATGTGACCACCATTCTAGGTAGCTCGCCATCACGGTACACATTAATTTGATGATGTTAGATAGTTGGAGGGAATCGGCAGGAAACCTTGGACCTAGGTTTCGTGCTAGTTGGCACTCGTCAGCAAGGCGTATCTGCAACTGCCTTGAAAGAACTCATGTCCCTTCTGAGATTCGAAGCCGTCTCTCTGCACCGAAGAAAGGACTAGATACGTCAGACTAGTTACTAGTGTCTAATCAAAATACTCACTAAAGTCGTACAGGAGGTCAGTCGTGAGTTCGAATAGCTGTGACTACAGCATTGGATGACGCGGGTTCGAATTTCAGAAATGACATCAGTTCCTTCAAGGTTGCGGATACGCCATGTTGACTGGTGAGTGCCAACTAGCACGAAACCTAGGTCCAAGGCTTCCTACCGACTGCCTCCAACTACCTAATAAACTACCTCTAATTTGTCTTTGTCACCATTTTCAGTTTGGATGAACCCGATAAACTACATACATTCACCTTTTACAGACAATTACTGATAATTTTCACATTAAGGTAAATATGAAACAGTGGTGTACTGGTATAACTAACTGACTAATTTTCAGTTAGTTATTCCTGTGATAAAATCAGATCATTAGATTACTTTGTTATTTTGGAAACTAATACCAATGATAGATTAAACTGTACTTTGACGTGTATGGTAATATTTCCACCTAGTCTATCTTAAAACGTTGATAAACATCTAATCTGAATAAAGTTACTCTATAAATTCTCATCACAAAAAAAAACAGAAAACAGAAAATCTTGATAAAACATGGTATAACTATTTCTCATCAGATAAAGGTAATTTTGATATAAATTCAAAGCCCTGTGTTAACCAGTAATCAAAAAGTAATTTTCAAAAGAATGGTTACTAAACAAAGAATACTCTTTGCCATAATCTGTTCTTCATCAGGTTCTACAGCTATACATACATAATAATGAATGAATTAGTGCCATTACCAAACCTTAATGTTGTTTAAATAACATCGAATCAATAATAATAGCAATATCAATGGATTACAGTCCGATAGCATAAACATAACAATACACTACACTGGATATCAGACAGGCACATTAGGAAAGATAAT